TTTTCACATGACAAGAATAATCTGACAAGAAAGAAAAGAATCAAACACACTACTACGATATACAAATGTGCAAGACAATTTTTTAGTTCTGGCGAGTTTTTAATGTTGTTGTTCCAACTATGTTCGATGGCTTTTTTACACGAAGTAATAGTTTCAACATCCATTTCTTGAAATCAGGAAGTAATCCAAGACACATCCACGGTAGTAATAAACAGATTAAATATGTGAGATCTGATACAATGTATTCCTCAATTCCATATAAATAATCTGATGCATTTATCTGTTGCATAATACCAATAATGACATTCGGCAACCATGTTAGCAGATAAAGACTTGAGATACTGATCAATTGTAATGTCATATGTCTTTGTTTTGACCATGATACAGTTCGTTGTCGACGATGTTTTTGTCTAATTACTCTTATGACAAGTATCACATTGCCCAAAATGATGGCAATAATCGGTAGTCCAGTATTCACTATCCAATCATATCCAGCTAATATCTCATTATCTGAAAGATAACAGATAGTATCACCACATGCATTTAATGTAAAGTTCCATTGTGCTTCATCACATGAATACAAAATGATAGTGCCCAAATAAAAAACAACTGGATAAATAATGCAGAACAGAAGTGGTAAATAATATAGAAGATAACGTTTGAAACGTATATGTAATAGATTTGGTTGAAAGATCAGTGTGTGTCGTTGAATAGATATAACAGCTACTAAAAATTCATTGGCAGCATCAAGAGTCGACTCAATGTACATCCACGTTTTACAATATGTGCCTGTTGCTGGACTAACACGATTGAGACGAAGGAAATGCAGAAGCATTGGTATATTAAGTGATAACTGAGTAAAATTAACCACAAATAAGATTAATAAAGCTTGATTTTGTAGTTTATTTAGATAACGACGATTAGTAATGAAGAAGAGAAAAATGAGAAGAAAAAGAATAATGGCTAAAATTTCTAAGATGAGAATAACAAAAAATTTGATACTATGAATAAGATGTCCATTATTTGCTAGTGTGTCCATCTTGTTAGTAGTTAGCTGTAGAGTCAAAAAGAAAACAGTAGTATGCTTCTTGGAGTAATTTTATGACAATAATAAAATCTCATTTCTGATATGTTCGCTTTTCACTATTTTTTCTTTATCTCTCTTTATTATCTTTTCTTAACTCTATATATAGATTTGTCTCTTGGTTGGCGGAAACTAGACTTTACAAAGTTTAATATGTTAATGATTCTCATTAATATATAAAATATAATAATATTCTGCCAGGCATTTTATCTTATTCTTTGAATAAGACAAAATTAATTAACAAAGGAGAATAGTTGATATCATGCCTATTGACAATAATATTAAAACTCATTAGGCTTGATATCTAAGAAAAACACATAATGAAAACAATGAATTACTCTATAACTGTTATATGAACTAAATGGAAAACGTCTATAAATAAATATTATTTTATGTTATTATAAAAATGACCCATATATTTTGCGAAGACGAGTTCCTTATTTCTTATAATAGAATTAATTTAAATATATATCAGATTTTGTTAGAAGAAATACTAATTCCAGTATTGCTTCAATACATGTCATACAAAGACGACTGAAGTTGATGCTATTAATATTTGAAAAAAAATCAGTATACATCGAGGTATATATAGGAACTACTGACAATACTAAAGGGCAATGAGATTATAGATGTTTTAGAAGAATGAATTATTTGATTGGAATTTTTGTTTAAAACTATAAAAATATATATTTCTTTAATATATTTGTATTTAATATTTCCTTTGAAGTGATCGAAAAGTATTGTTGTTTAGTTTTTCGACTCTCTCGTAATCAATATTGATTGTTATTCGTATGATATCAAGTCACTAGATTATACATTTCATAGACAATATTCATTATTTACATCTACGTGTTTTTTTTCTTACAAAAATACATATCAAAATCAAAATATCTATCGTGTTGTATTTATTTAAGTCATAAAACGATTGACATTAAGATGTCACTACTGTAATTGAATAGTGAGTATCGATATTACAGCAAATTTTTTATACTATCGACTAGGTGACATTCATATTTATCAATGCAAACAGTATATACATATGATTAAATATTTCTTTCTATTTACTACAATACATAAAATTTATTGTGTTCATAAAACAATTATATGGATAATACATTATGTAGGTATAGTTCTTAGATCGTAGGTCTAATAGTATTTTGTCGAGTTGTGATATGCTGGACTCGTCTTAATATCCATTTATGAAAGTCAGGAAGTAATCCAAGAGACATCCATGGAAGTGTTAGACAAACTAAATATGTAAGATCTGATATAAAATTTTCTTCGATTCCATATAAATAATTCGATGGATTTATCTGTTGAATTATACCAGTAATAATAGTAGGTAACCATGTTAACAAATAAAGACTTGATATACTAACTAGTTGCAATGTCATACGTCTTTGTTTCGCCCATGAAATAGTTTTTTGTCTACGAGATTTTTGTTTAACAACTCTTACGATGAGTAATAAATTGGCCAACATTATAATAATGATTGGTGAACCACTATTCACTATCCAATCATATGTAGCCAGTACTTCACTACCTGAGAGAAAACAAATTGTATCACCACACATGTTTAATGTGAAGTTCCATTGTGCAGGATCACATGGATAAAATACAACAGCACCCATATAAAAAATAACAGGATACATAATGCAACATAGAAGTGGTAAATAGTATAGAAGATAACATTTGAAACGTGTACGAAATAGATTTGGTCGAAAGACGAGTGTGTGTCGTTGAATAGATATGACAGCTACTAAATAATTGTTTACTGCTTCGAGAGTGAATTCAACATACATCCAAGTTTTGCAATATGCACCTGTTGCTGGACTAATAACATGGAGACGAAGAAAATGTACGACCATGGGTATATTAATTAATAGTTGAATAAAATTAACAATGAATAAAATTAATAGTGCTTGATATTGTAGTTTCCGTAGTTGATTGCGATTAGTAGCAAAGAATGTAAAAATGAATACAAAAAGAATAATTGCTGGAATTAGTAAGAAAAGAATTATGAAGAATTTGACATGATAGATAAGATCTTGATCGGTTCTTGTTATGACTAGCATCTTGTTGAAAATAAAAGTTGAGATAGCAATGAGAGGTAAAAACTATTTTGTAATATTCTCTAACAGTAAGAATATTATTCTCAGGGTGATGCGCGTTCACATCGTTTTTTCTTTCATACTCTTTGTTCTTTTTTTCCAGTCTGTTTCTCTTTCTATATATAGAGTTGCCTCATTTGTGCTAGAACATGACCGAAAAATAAAGTATTTTTATAAAAAAAAAACTATAACTACGACTGATAAGAATTGTTCTTGAATGTTCTATTTAATTACTGTAATTATTTTCAAGATATATTTTTGAAAGTATGATTTAACTAAAATACGTAATTGGTATTGTAAAAAGTATTGATTGATAATTATAGTTTTATTCTGTCGAATAGGATTCTTCTACGGATGTTATTTTTTTTCTTTAATTATGAAATGCATTTACGTAGTATTTTACCAATATTAATGGAAGCGCTTACGGCATTTTAAAGCTTAGTTATCACAAGGAACTATATAATCTTGTGAGCGTAGGATTTTGATGAGAGATGAATGAAATATCACAATTCATCCATCCACACCTTCAATAAAGCTAAAGAAATCGATAAATCATTCTTATTTTGTTTTTAAATGTTGAACAAATATTTCTCAAAGCAACAGAAGAAAATGTGAAAAATGTGAAGTAATACAAAAGCAGTTCACTTTTTCATATGATAAATATATCATCAAAAAGAATAATAACTAAAAATATAATGTTTAGGTTAATTCATACCAAATCAACTTTTAAAAATCTTTTAATGCTTTTTAATTAAAAAGTTTTATGCGCTGAGACAGACAGATGTTATCTGATGATGTTAAATATAGTTTATGAGAGCACTCTTCACTCGCCCCTCATATCATAAAAAAACGAAAACTAAAAATATGTTTTAAAAAATACGATGGAATTTATTAAAATACTTCATTAGAAAAAAACATATCGCATTTGAAGTTATTTGATCTATTGATAATGAAGAAAAAAAGAGACTTTTTAATTAAAGATAATCAGGATGTTGAATCAAATTATTTCATGAAATATAATCAAAAGAAAATTAAACTTACATCGATTTTTAATTTTCGTGAACGAATAAACTTAAATAAAATTAAATGTCAAAATTCTTGTGCAGGTTAACAAAAACCTGCAATCGATGAAAAAGATCACCACGTCGCATATTTTCAATTCTTAATAAATATCTTCAAATTCTTCATTTGAAGTGTTTGATTTCAAAAACATTAAAAAGTAATTAAGATAGTTTTTCCTCATACACTGTAAATTTTTTAAATTTGTAGTCTGTTGAAAATTGACTTTAAACAAGCTATGGTATTTTTAAATATTTTTATTCATTCATTGAATTTAGAACAGACCGAAAGTACTTGATTTTCGAAAAAATGAAAAATTAACACTGGCTATGAATATATAATTCGAAAATTAATTTGGATTTTGAGAAAGTCATTTGAATAATGACCACTATATAGTCACCGTTCATTCATGTATATAAACCAGCAGATAAAAAATATTGTACATTGATTATTTTCGACATCTGTAGTGAGCATTTGACTTAAAATTAATGATATTCATTATCTTTTGTGATGCATATATATAAATTCAATGTTATGAGTTTATTAAAAATAAAATAATTTATTATCTTGAGAGTGAGTGCGAGTGTTCGTGTTGGTAGATTTTATTCTCTCGTATAATCACACTCAGATCCACGCCCTAGTGCAAAAAAAACATTAGTTCATTCAGAACTGAACATAACTTTTTTCAAAAAAAGTTTTCGAGTTTTATTTCAATGTTGTTGATGCTAAGAATGGTTTGATTGTAATTAACTTTTTCTATTGTTCATAAAAGAGTTATAAAATGAGCACGCTCTCATAAACTCCTCCGAGTTCTCATCGAATCCTTCAAGTTCAAGAGCCTTCAAAGCACAAGAATGCGCTTTCGATGGATCATTCATTTCATAATAGAGTGTACTAAAGTATCGATAAGATTTAGCCAAACGTAGATCATCCAAAGGATCTGATTGTTGTCGGATTTCAAAGGCTTTTTCATAGAATGATAGTGCTTGCGAAAAGTTACGCATGAAAAAATGCATCATACCGATCTTATCATAAGTATCAGTAATGTCAAGATGATTTGCAGAAAGTGATTGTTGTTGGATTTCAAGACCTTTTTCATAAGACGAAAGTGCTTTTGAATAATCATTCATAGCGATATAGATAGAGCCGATATTGTAATACGTACTGACGAGATTAGAATGATCGAGTGGAAGTGATTGTTTTCGAATAGCTAGAGCTTTTTCATGAAATGATAATGCTTTATGAAGATCACCTTTGTACATCCATGATAAACCGATGTTAGTATATACATTAGCTAAAGAAAGATTATTCAAAGGATCTAGTTTTTGATAAATATCGACTGCTTTTTCATACAATGTTATAGCCTCTTGATATTGTCCTAGAAAATCTTTGTCCCATCCAAGTTCCTCGTAGATATATCCTTTTACATTCTCGTTCGTTGTCTCATTAAGTAGTAATTCATAAAGTTCTTCTGCCTCGTCGAATCTACCCATTGTAACTAGAAAGCGATTTAATTTAAACCATCCTTTCACTTCTGGAGTAATCATGTATCTGGCACGTGGAGTAAATCTACACAAATCTGGATCGTTGTCATTGATAAGTATCAATTTAACTTCGTAAAGACGATTGTTTTCGCTAATAGAATTGATACTATCAATGCGAAAGAGAGTGTTCATTGAAAAAAGAATTGCATCTTCTTCATGTAAATAACTAACGTCATGAATGGAAGCGAAACATGTTGTTGATTGAGAAGGATCGACCATTATATTAAAAAGAACTCCCGTATAATCAAGATTTAACGTAGATTGCTGTGCTAATTTGAGAGACATTTCACGATCTTTACTGGTAGATAAAAAGGTATTAAATGAAATTAAACCATCTTTGGTTTCAGTTATTTTCTCAAAATCCTTTTTTGAAATACCTTGACCGCGATATACGATGAATATTTCATTCGAAGAGCAGTTCACAAATTGTTTTGAATGTAGTTGTTTGATTTGACGATGGAGATCACAAATAAAGAAACCCATTCGGATAATCATATTTATATTTAATGTGCGAAGGGCAAAATTGAGCATAGGATACACGAAACCTTCGTTTGTGTACCACCATATTGGTGTTCTGTCATGATATTCTTGTTCAAATTGAAGAATATTTTTTTGTTCATAATCGTCTCCAGTAAACTCTTGGCGACAGTAATAAATGAATTCTTGTATTTGTTTTTCTTCAAAATCAATCGTTAAAAATATTTCTTTGAGATTGTCCAGTTGTTGCCAGTGTTCATTGGATATATAATCACCATTTATTGTTGAGAAACTTATGGAAATAGCGTTTTCTTCCCATTGTCGAGCTGTTTCTTTCAGTACTTCATAAATCGAAGGAATTTGAGTAAAAATACCTTTAATTTTGGCCCATTGTTTTGCCCATTTTTGATGTTTTCCTTTATCCCCACATAAAATATAAATGGAATCAAGATACGATTTAGTATGGATGATAGGCACTGTATCTTGAGCAAAATAACCAGGCATAACTATGAACACCGTTTCATTTTGTATCGAATCTAGTAATTGAAGAAAGGAATTATTGTTATTACACATTTTAACTCTATTCATAATTCGTTCCAAATTTTTAATAGTTTGACGATAAACATCATTGTCTTCTTCATCAGCATAATAGTTCAGCCAGATGAGAAGAGCATTTTCTACCATATATCCGTTCGTGCGTCGGCATGTAGATATATCTTTTGAAGCACTATGTACTTCGCCTGTTTCTTTGTCACTATTCAATTTAGCAACCATTGTCGAGTGTGATAAATTATGAAATATTTCTATTTATTGATTGCGTATATGTTTTCTGTATGTGTTCGTTTTTTAAAGGCACTTTAACTATTTACTGTTGAATATGTTGTTATGAGAAACAATGTTGATCAACACAAGCATGTTTAAAACGAACGAAAAGCAAGAAAAAAACATTTTTCTTTTCACTCTACAATGATGCGTTTTAACTTAAATATCAACAGTTGACAAAGCTTACATTAGTTACGGAACGCGACTATTTATGTAAACAAATAATAACCGAGAATTTTTGTCCTATTTTTTCAAATAACATTGGTTAATGCATCGCAACAATTGTGCCTATCATTCTATAATCCACCCACATCCACACCAACACCCTGTTTCTATGTGTTATAAATAAAATAAATGTATTTTACCTCTTGTTACTTTGATTCATAATAAAATATTTATTATTTATGACTAACTATAAACAATATCTTCATGATGTTGTGAGTCATTTCGAAATCGTGGAGGTGGCTGTGGATGTGGGTACCTATCATCTCATAACCCACCCACACTCATACCCTTATTCATATATTTCCCCTTGATCAAGTTTTGACAAGTTTATTTAGTATGTCCCGCAATGATTACAAAGGTGAGATCAAAATTCATATACCCCATCAACACCTTTTTACATTTGTGTATATCACTGACGAATGTCTTTTTTTTGACGAGATTTATCATCCTATTGATGATGTGAATAGCTCTTATGTTGTTATCAAGCAATATCGAGCCTCATAAATCTGAAATAAATAGAAATTAAATCATATTGCTCGTCCAAGATAAGAATATTTTCGAGTTGATTTACAGTTTGCGTCAAACGGATATATTGAGTACTGTTTTACAATTCAAATAAAGAGAAACATAAATCTTTCTTAAATATGATGATAAGCCGTGTACTTTTTTCAGTCCTCGCTTTAGAGCTTGTTCATAATACTTATTTTGTGACTGAATCTTCTAACTCAACATCTGACTATGTTGTCGATCGATATGATTGGTATGATGATGATGACAGTGTACAATTACCAGATGTTTTGAGATGGAAAGAAAATGTCACATTAGAGAACCGTAAGTTTGATTTATTAACTTGTTTTACTATCTTTTCTTATTTAGTATAGATCTTCAATTTGATCCAGCTGTATGCGGTCCCGGATTGTTCATTACTCATGACAATACTCATTTACTTCAAAAGACAGTTGTAATGGGGGGTCGCACTTGTCGCACAATGACTGCTGGTTGGATGCACGGCATCCACTACTGGTCAATGAGAGTCATCAATCACGGCCTCATGGCTAGAATAGTACTTGGTATTGTACCCTCTCATTTCGACGTAACTATACCGCACTATCCAGGGGCCACTGTGGATAGCTTTGGTTTGTATCTCATAAACGGAAACAAATACAATCGTGGACTGCCTGCTGTCTTTTCTACAGATTTGATTAGGAAAGGAGATATTATTGGAGTTCTTCTAGATCTGCATGCTAGAACATTGACATTTTTTAAGAATGGATATCTTCTTGGCACGGCATTTGGTCATCTACACGCCCACGAATCGGCAGGATTCTATCCTGCAGTGACTTTTTATGACATGGGCAGCTGGATAAGCCTAGTAAAAACATTCAAATGAACGGGTTTTCAAAGCTATCGTTGCTGCGAGCTCAGAAATATTTCTTTTAAATAAATTTTAGAGGCTTGTGAGTATAGCTCAAGACCAAGAACATTTATCGATATGCGTTTTAACAAGGTTTTTTGTGCTCCTTGAGGCATATACATGTGGATGCATTCGTCGAATGGTTCAAATCAACATGGTATGGATAAGGAAAAATCCTATTGATAACAATTCGCTATAAGTAACTTAGTCATTGTGCCGTATACAAATGAAAAGTATCCGAACTTTTGATGAAAATCTATTTCAATCGAAATATATTGTAACAAGTAGATAATTTTTCTCATCTTAAGATCACACTGATAACTTTTAAGCACTCTTGTCAGCGATATAAATGGCATTGGCAACTGCGACACGCCAGTTCGTCCAAACCGAGTCTCGGATCTGATCAGAATTTCATACGATTTTTACCGAAGTTTGGTGACAGAAGCACTAACGAATTCTTAGTGTTATAAGATATCGACTATCAGATCCGTTACTGATTCCGTAGCTCGAAATCCGACCGAACTGAATGCCGAATTCTTAGACCTGAGTAAAATTTGAGAATGGATTTTTTTTCCAGGCAAACAATGATAGATTTTCCTTCTTTCGGAAAAGATCAAAGAATCTCTAGGACTCGCGCTGCTCGTTATTAAATTAAATTAACCAAATGTATGCTTTCTAGCATTCTCTCTTGATATATAGGTCGGTTAAATATAAATTTTGTTCTTTATTAACGACTGAACAATTGCTGACAGGAACGACATTCTAGAAAAGACATAAAGAATAATGGCAGCACTTCATCGTAAAGTAGTTGATATCAACACCCTCATCCTCTGGATACCTACCTTTGTTTATGTATAAGAACTGCTATATTATTCTGTTGGGGGTGTACACAATTATAGATAAAACATATGGCCTTTTAATAAACTGTTGAATGTTATTATTTAATAGATTACAATCGTAATACAAACGTATATATGGCCACTAGACGATAAATCCATTCGAGAAAATAATTAAAAGACGTATTTAAATAGAATTATTTTTCTAGATTTATATATTTAATACAAAGTATTCACGTGGGTAACTATAAAGTATATCGATATGCATGTATTTACATGGAGAGAAAAGAAAAGGACGAATATACGACTGGGTAATTAATGTTAGTAGTACAATACAGCAGAATGAAAGAAAAAAAAAAGAATATGAATACATTGTAACGTTGTTTTTTTTTCAAATATTGACTTTTTCCTTTTATAAATAAGTATGACGGATACATCGATGATCAGTTAAATAATAAAAATCATCAGCGAGAATCTTTCGTCATGACATATTTATTTGTGATTATTTTAGGTAAAAATTCACACCCAGTTGATCTAAACTGTAAAATTAAATCTATGATCGAAACATAAACATATTCATACTTTTAATATCATTTATCTCCAAATTATATTAAAATAAACATAGATAAAGAAGAGGTTCATAGAAGCTGAGCAGAACATCCATTTATTCTCATCAATCGTTAATATACTTCATCTACTACTGTGTGTTAGAACCTTTAGACTATATATAGTTTCATGTGATATGATACTTTTCAAAAGTAATTATCATCAATAGTTCGTTTACAACAAAAAAGAATATCAAAACAAAGTCAATCATTAGTTTAAATTGATACCCAATCAAGCAAAAACGATATTTTATTTTATTTTTATCTCAACGAGATTCATTCTTTACATATTAAAGAGACAAAAGAGAGAAGAGCAAATGTGATTATACAATTGTAAAATTGTGATGTATATTGATACACTTTCTCTATCTCATAAATAACATAGTTCATATTTTCATTTATAAAATAATTTCTTATCATAAAATCAAAATTATCGCCATCGTTAGTACCTTCTTTCATTTTAACATTGTAAAACAAATCGTTCAACTATGAAGACATAAATTTATATAGAACAATTCGTATAAAATCTTTTTCTTTAATATCAAACGAATGATTTATAAAGAACTATTCTTATTTTATTTTTTAGATGAACAAAAATTAAAATTAAATATTTTCATTATATTCTATTTTTTTTGATATTTTCCTTTCAATGTTCTCCTTTTCAACATTTTCCACCAAATCATCTCTGTAAGAAAGCTTCGTCCACGAAAAAAAAATACGAAATATTATATTTCTAAGGATTTTAAGATTGCAAGTGTCTATAGATCATTGAATAAAGAAATATATTGTATAGTAATGATTTTGACAGACGCTTTACATTCTCATATAAGCAATCGCTTGTGTGAGAATAATATCATCTTGCAATACTTATATTTATATCTGAGAGTAAAGTATTTTTTTTATTCTAATCTAAAAATGTTTTTGCTGCTTTTAATTTTAATTACATGTCCGTTAGGTAGTCATTCATATTTTCAAGGAGTTGAACTTCTTTCTGATGTAAACTATACACAAGGTTTTAGTGTTATTCCAGCTTGTTTTATAAATCCAGATGCATGTGCTAAGGGACCACAATTCCGTTTATATAATCCATTTTCAACTGCACCGAATATAAGTGCATTGTGGCAAATGGCACAATGGGATAGTCATTCAAATATATCTACAAATGGAACATTCGTTAACGATGGAAAGAGTGAAGGTATGCAATGGTCATCGGAAGACAAACGTTTTATACTTTTTCAAGATGATCGTTTACAAATATCAGTTAATGGATATCATGAATATCAGGGCAAATATAGAACACCAGACGAACCATGGGTTGCGCTTTTATTACAACAAAGTATTGGAAAATCCACTGGTTCTGTATCATTAAATCAAGTTACTGAATTACAATGGAATTTAGATATTCAACTTTTATATATGGATCAACATATTCAACCAGGTTACAACCCAAATATTCATGCAGGACAATTTCTTCTATATATGGCAATTCAAAATTTAGTTCCAGGTGATCCAGAATATGGAAAATATTTTTGGCTAGGAATATGTTTATATGATGATCGTTTTCCTATGAGTCCTCTATATATTAATGGTGATAAAGGTACAGGTTCGTTAATATATCAACCAGCTTTTTCAAATTTTGCAAATACATCTGTGCATTCTGAAAATGTTGTGCATGTAAGTGGAAATATGAGGCCATTTGTTCGATTAGGACTTGAAGCAGCTGTTGAACGTGGGTTTTTAAATTCAACTGATCTTAGCAAATATTATGTTGGAGGAATGAATATTGGATGGGAAGTAACTGGATTAAATAATGGTACAATTGAAATAGGAAATTTTAGTTTAAAACAATATACAGCACAAAATCCCAAATCGTATGAATTTAATCAGAATGGAGATACAGAAGGATGGAAAACAACATTTAATTTAAATGAAAATACCAATAAACCTTTGAATGGAAAATGGATTTTATCATTAATAGACAAAGATTCCTATTTATTAAGTCCAGAGATAATGATTGATACATTAGTAGTAAAGAAAATAATTATTCGTATCAATTATAACAAGTTTCAATTACTTTGGAGTAGAAGTACTGAAGAATTATTCGATGAAAATGATAGTATTCTAGTTGAAATGGAAAATGATGGAAGATGGAAAGAATATATATTAGACTTATCTAATAATTCCAATTGGTATGGTATTGTACGTCGATTACGAATTGAACCTGTACGAGAAGAAAATAATATAAAATTCGGTATTGATTATATTCGATTTTCTTCTTATTAATAATTTTCTTTTCATTTCTACATTGAAGAAAAAGATCATATCATAAAATACTTGATCAGAATTAATTGAATCTAATATATAAAAAAAATTCAAAAGGCTTCATGAGCTATTTAGCGTATGTTTATCGACGCATTATTTATTTATAAGAAAGAGTTGATGACTAAAACAATAAAAATAGTGATTAGAATATATCAAGAGAAAGGAAGGAAAGAAATGGCACTACGAAATAGTCTTAATATTGAATGCTATTACATCACATAGTTTAGGTACATAGCGCTAATATAATGGCCACCGTATTACTGTTACCGTTGGCTATGGCTAAATCGGGTCGTCCATCTTCATTGAAGTCTGTAATGACAATTCCCGTTAACCCTTGTCCTGCTGATGAATAACTTTGTATTCCACCAAAAGTCCCATTTTGATAGCCGAAGTACACGGACACATTACCATTTTTGTTGCTTATAGCCAAGTCCATTATTAAATCTCCATTTAGATCCTGGATTGCGATATCAAATGAATACGCTATGCCTGTGGTATACGTTGCAGATGCGGATGTAACAAATGTGCCAACGCCACTACCAGTGAATATACTTATTGTATTGGAATAGGCATTGGCCACGACTAGATCTAATTTTGAATCACCATTAAAATCTGCCGTTCGAACCACATATGGAAATGAACCTGTTGTATAACTGGTAACGTTAGCTTGAAAAGTCCCGTTACCAACGCCGAGAAAGATGAGTAGTTGATTGCTATTTCGACTAACTACGGCCAGATCTACATTTCCATCGCTATTGAAGTCACCACTGGTTATTGATGTGGGCGATGTTCCAGCTGCATATGATGTTCCAGAACCTTGAAATGTGCCGTTACCGAAACCCAAAAGGATGGTGATTGTATATGAGCCCGTATTTGTCACAACTAAGTCAGCTTTGTAATCATTATTTACATCGACAACAATGATTGACGAAGGTAAGGATCCTCCACTGTTAAAAGTTATGACCGACAACTGAAATGCACCATTGCCCAATCCGAGAAGAATAGAGATCGTGTTTGATCCTTCGTTGCAGACCGCTAAATCAACATTTCCGTCATTATTAAAATCGTGCGCGACAAACTGATAAGGATGAGATCCGTTGGTAGGAAAGCTTGTTGCAAGTAGCTGAAACGATCCATTACCAATACCCAATAAAATCGAAATACTGTTGCCATAGTAGTTGCCTATCGCCAAATCCACATGTCCATCCTTATTAAAATCTGCAGATATCATTCCCAATGGTAATGCACCAGTTGTATAAAGTTTTGGCAGTTGTTGAAAATTGTATGTGGAACACACTACAATAATCAAATAAAAACGATATTATTAATAATGGAGAAGACAACATTATAATATGGCATCAAAAACTATTTTGTATCAAACACAAATTAGATACGTTTTTCTTCATGTGATGCATCTATACGATAAACAGATGCTTTTTACTTACCAGGCAAACTTTCATTGGAAAAAGTGAGAACACTTGCATCCATTATGGTTGTCTGTATTTGTAACCAGCTACGTTTAACTTGAGCGGAGAACATTGAACAACTTTTATTAATACCGATATAGGTGGCTGTGAGACATTGTGAGTTATTTAAGCATTGGCAAGCACATTCATTTAGCGAGCTAATAGAGAATTGATCAGCCAGTTTAAGATTTGTGTTTGTCGGTACAAATTGAGCATTTTTATATATGGTAATAGGCATTGTCGATGTAAATAAACAACAGACAAATAAAATAAGCGTTACTTGCGAGCGCATCGTGACACAAATGATTCTATTCTTAAAAAAAAACAGGCTACACGCAGGTGAGAATATGCTTTATAAAATAATGCACACGTACTTTTCCTCTCAAACAATATTAAAGCTGCGCATATTATTCTTGAAACAAGTAAAGACCTTTAAACACTTAGTGTTCGCATTTTATGATTGTAAAAGACTTTTATTTCTCTTTAATGCTATCATTTTGAGAAAAGCACAACAATTTGCAGAAACACTACATTATACACTTCTCTGTTCTTCGTGATAATCAAACATATATATTAATTTTAACTAGTTATTTTTCCGTTTGAGATAGCAGAAGAACTTATATAAGCATATAAGTAAGAACTAAATATGGAACTATCTTCTGTTCAATACGAAAAAAATACGTAAAAATAAAAGTGAATTTATGAGGTGACTTATTTTCTTTCTTCTAATTGAATATTGCAGACTTTTATTGCATATTTTGGTAACACTATAACACTTGAATGACAAAAAATTTCTCTTCTATATTCAACTATCCAAAGTTTTTGTTGATACTTAAACTATTTTTTTGATAAGTTCTTGAAGAAGATCTCCTTGACAAAATATTGTATTGATGATTGTCTAAAGAAGAATCAGTTAAAAGATTTAAAATGAAATATGATCCCGAAGAAAAAGCAGACACATACTATCTTCTGGTATACAGAATATCTAGTAAAAAAAACAGTAAGAGTTCAACCGCAAAATGTCATATTATAACAGACTTTCGAAAGTCTTTTTAGGTTCTGACAAGTCTTGATTCGTAGTAATTCCGGTAAAATAATCATTTCTTACTCGCAACATAATCGTCGATTTTTTTAAAATCGTGATTAATCGCACAGACCCTGGCGACTTTGGTGACATGGGTAAGAAGGATCGTCTCACATCCTCCCTTCTCTCGCTCCCTCTCTCTCCATGCACCACTAAGTAGAGTCCCTGTAAAAGTAAAAAAGACCTTTTAATAGTATTAATAAAAAAGTGACTCAATTCTCTTTCATTGAAACCATGTTAAATGATTAAAAAATATTATTTCACTAGAATCTCGACATATGTTTATGAATAAATGACACTTTCACTGTAAGAACCATGATTTCAAACAGATAAAAATTCACTCAACCTCAATAATGTAAACATGATTATCATAATCTTATAAGTAATTCATTTGATTAAATCATGCACGATGCTTGACAGATATATGCAAAATTTAATTTCAGAAGTATCAAAGAATTAGAAGATTTACACAACAAAAATGAATCAGCATATTTATTAAGCTTGATTTCTGCTCTTTGTTACCATGATCTTACTATGTTGAGATAATGATGATCACATAAGATCATACTGAGAATTTCGTTCGAAATAATGACAATAGTCTTGTTT